CTTAGACAATTTGAAAATAAGCTCGAAGACGAAATTTCTGGAGTCCAAACGGCATTAGCCCACCAGCGACCATCAGCGTTTCGAGTGTCCGTCAGCGACTAGAAGAGTATAGATGACGACTTAGCGAACGGCAGCGTCTGCCAGCGTCCACCAGCGTCCGCCAGCGACCATCAGCGTCTCGAGGGACTAGGAAAGTATGGATATCAATCTAGCGTCTACCAGCGTCCGCCAGCGACCATTAGCGATCAGGAGAACGGTACTATGTAGTAGAACGCATGCCACAATTCACGTGCACATGCCACAATTTTACGACGCCTAATCCAGCTGTCTCCTCTCTCTCCTACTTCCCCATACTCTACCAGCAGTCTGCTACCCTCCTACTTCCCCATACTCTCTACTCCTGGTCGCTGGTGGACGCTGGTAGACGCTAGATCGATATCCACACTTTCCTAGTCCCTCGAGACGCTGATGGTCGCTGGCGGCAGCTGGTGGACGCTGTCGCAAAGTATGTACGCATTTTTACGATGATCAGCTGAACCATAAGCCAGCCATTACTGTTCTCCCACTGACCCAATACCTGATCAACTCTATGGATCACATGGCGGTGCACCGCAGCATCGTTCGGCTAATGCATCGAGGGAATTTTGTAATTTCGCCAGTTCTGGCATAGAGATCACATTTTGTTGAGACGTAATGACTCTTGCAGCGGTATAAGAAGCTTGCCGAGCAATCTTGGTGGAGTCTATAGACTCTTGTAAGCTTTCAAAATAGACCTCCTTTACGTATACTTGATATATTCAGAATCAGTTGAGCACCCTAGACACATAAACGTAAACCGCTGTCAGCTATTCATTTTATAGAAAACCAGACAATAAAATGAGTGAACAATATGCAGCTAGTTTTGCATGGGATATCTTTTCATAGTAATTTGCACAGCAAATGAACTTTTGATTATGCGCGATCGACCTTCAATGAATATGGTATCCTGCGTTATCTATTTTGTACAGGGGGGGGGGGGAAAAAAAGCACTTTGGCCGAGTCACATATCAGTAAAGATTACGCAGCCCGGACAGAAGACATGCGATTACCAGGGCGGAAGATACCCAAGAGGTCCCCGATGAGCAGGAGTAGGCCCTCGTCCATCACCTTCATGTACACCAAAATATGAAGCATCTCCAATTGCAGCCGGACTGAAGAAGGCCTATGGAATTCACGTCACCTCCAAACAGCTGCGAAACTTCTTGTATGGGGCCACCCATGGACTCTCGAACTGGTAAGACCTCCAACATCGAGCAGCTCCGACAACGTCGCTATGGTCCAGGATATCATCTTCACCGCAGTCGCCAAGGCGCGGTTGATGGTATGGACCGGAGTTCCTGGAATGGGAAGACCGATATTTTCTTCGTGGACCCCGGACTGAAGTGAACGCTGACGGTTACATCGAGCAACTCGAGGAGAATATCCTGCCTTCATGTCGTCGCCTGTACCATCTTGGAAACTTCGTACTGCTACAGGAAGGGCGTTGGAAAAACTCTCGCCTACTTGGAATCGAAGGGCGTTGAGATCCTGAAGAAGACGGAATATCCTAAGTGTGTCACCTGACCTAAACCCCTCGATTACCGGGTCCGAGCGGAGCTCAACAGGGTGGTCTACAGTGGCGGAGAAATCAACGACCTCGCTGAACTCAGGCACCGAATCACGGTCGCGTGGCCAAATCTCTCAATGGACCTTCGTCCAGAAGGCTGGAGGAGTTTCATGATCGTGCGCAATGCATTGTTGAATTTGATGGTGAAAATCCAATCAGAATTTAATACAGTGTGAGTTTCGCCCTTTAAAAGCAGTTGGCACGATAAATCCCCCAAGACGACTAGGATCAATACTCCTGGCAGGATAGAATTCCGCGACCCTGGGCAGGCGCTGCATAGCGGTTTCCTCGAGGAAGGTGCCCTTATAAGGGCCCTATCAAGCCACAACTTTACGTCGTCCCAAACGCCCACCACGCCGCCGCCCACAATATCGGACGACCGTTCGTGGCCCTCGTAATTCAATCATTTTGCTAGTGCGAATATATGAATGCCAAAGGTATTAGTATTGAGCGGGCCGGTTGATAGCTGCTATGCATACATGGGTGCACATATACTCTCTTCCTTTACGGGACTGGGGCGTATCAGCCAGTAGGAGTGCGCACACTGTTTGAAGCCGTTATCAGCATTTTCGTTGAAAGGCGTATGCGACAAAAAGTGGTAGAAAACGAGTAATACGAAGGATATAATGCTGTCATGTCATTTGCTCGCTTCAACAACTGGTGCAGAAAGACTTTGGCACCGCGGAAAACGCAGCCGCACTGACCCGCCCCGACAGTCCGTAATGATGAGGAGTGTATGCAGACGTATCTTCGGTAGCGGGTTGATTGGTAAGATGCCTACGGAACTCGCTCCGAATTGATTTTACCAGTCCCTTGAGAACGGAGGGAGGGCGGCGGAGGCTTTTTCTTCGCAGGATTTTGACCGTTTCACTCCGTTCTTTCGCCATTTCCCACACTATACAGCGCCCTACTAGCATTTTAGGCTAAGTAGGAAACCATCATCGCAACTTTATTGAAGTCGGGAGAAAATATGTTTTTTCGTCCCTGTACATTGAAGGCACATCAAGATACTAAAACTTTGAGCACGTGGCGAAGTTGGTAAAACAGAGTGGACGTCTCGGATAATCTCCTTGAACTTCGATGAAAAAGTCTATAAAAGCATTAAGATTTGGAAACGCAGCCGTATAAAACTATCAAAATAAAATTATTTGAACGCACATTTGAAACCTGAGATCGAAGCGATGGATTCTGATATAACAATCGAATGAATGCTCAACAGGGGGTTACCATTCGATGATGTGTGAAATAGTGGTGTCAGTAAAGCCCCCCCCCACTCGCGGGAGGTCTCGGATACGCCTCCTCCCCTTCCCCAGCACCTACCTTCCTGCAAGTTCTAGCTTCTAAACATGTTTTTTCACCCAAAGTTTTCTCCATCGAGAGCGGGGGGGGAAGTATAAATAGCCAATGATTGAAACGGGAAAAATTCACGAAAAGACAAACTACCGCGTGGAAAATTTTTTTCAACTTGGCAACTTTTTCTATAAGGCCACATAACGACTCCACCCTCCTTTCCACAAATACGACCCTTCCCCTCCACAAGGCTGGCCAGTATGATCCCCAGGTGTTTTACACAACGATGCTGTACCATGATTTTCAAGTCCAGAACACCTAACCACAGACAAAAGTCCCAAGGGGACCGCACAGCTCACAAATACGTTTCCATTAATCTCTGAAGATACGCCGCATTGCGTTTTTACGGTGGCTCAGCTAAGGTTGAAAGTAAAATGCGGATTTTTGCTCCGGGAATATTATTCGTTGTCTATTTCAGAATGTTCGCAGACAAGTGCGAAATTTCAAGCAATACTTACCTCGAAAGTTCCTATCAGCAGAAGGCTCAATAGAAGCATCAAAGCGGAATATGGATAAGAATAGGTCTGGAAGAGCTTTTATCGAAATAAAGCAGGATAAAAGCAGAATTTGATGCAAGCATTCTGAGTTATGGGAGGAGTCGAACCCCGGGTGGGAGTCGAATCCCCACCTCACGTTTTCCGGGCGAGTGCGCTCTCCATTACTTCGCATGAAAACGGAAGGCGCACTCGGCTCGGAAAACGTTAGGTGAACGGAGTTCGACTCCCGCCCGGGGTTCGAGTTTTGCCCATAACTCAGATTCTTGTGATGACATTCGGAACTGCGGTGTTAAACAGCAGTTATTATAACAAAACAACTTCAAAAGCGGAGTTTGAGGTTCGACGACATCCCTTGCCTCGATAATTCTCGTGTTGTTCTGCGAAATCACACAACAGACTATATTCATGCTAACTACATGACATTAAAATGCCGTATGAAATTTATCTGTACTCAGGTAAAAAGAAATCACACATATTTATTTATTTGTTGGATAGCCAGGTCGAACAGCACCATTTCCTCATAAAACTGTTGCAGGGTCCCATGGAGAACACAGTTAGAGATTTTTGGCACATGATCGTGCAAGAAGGTTGCCGCCTGATTCTAATGTTGTGTAACTTCAGAGAAGGTCTCATTTTTCATTTATCTTTTCGAATTTCAAAGAGAAAGCAGCTTCAAGTACTGAGATAGAACTCCTCGGAGACCATAAGCTTTAGTTTCAGAAGAAGAGTTTCGCTCTCATTCTGAACTCCGGTTTGGGTCACTAAATAATTCTGATTCGCGACAACTGGCGCCAGAGTACTTTCTTGCTAGGTGACTTGACAGGACATAGTGCGTGATGGCGGTCGATGCATTCCGCGACAGGGCGCTCATCGTTGTTGGGGAATCCCCCAACACGGTGCAGGGGTCGTTTTGTCCGCTGAGGAGGGAGAGGGGTCGTTTAGGTTCTGTTTCTGGGCTTAGAAAAAGTTCATTTGATAGTTGACCTCTCTCCGCTTCACGAGACGTCTCCCCCACCCTCCCCCTCCCCCAACCTGCTGCGGATCAGCAAAATGTTTGGAAAAAAGTAGGGAAGTTTTTGGGATTTTCGGGAAACTTTGAAAAAAGTGGGAGGAAGTTGGGGGAAATCTAAGAACTGGTGGAAGGTGCTATTCACATGTGCCTTTTTACCCCTTGCCCCCTCCGCCGCTCGTCGCTCGACGGCTCGATTCATAGCGGTGTATTAGGTTGTCCGGAAAGTTCTCAGCGTTTTGTGCACCTATTTTTTGTACATTCACTGCTGATTAAAAACTCATTCTGCCTTCTCAGTAGCACATCCTGTAGAGAATTTCTTGCGCTATCTGATGGTATAATTGCCTTTTCATCACTGCTTGATGAACCCCTTTTTTCAAGATTTTTTCAAGCATGTGAAAAGAGCACTTCGGACGATTTTTTTCTTCGACTATAAATTGGGGCAATCCGCAATCGAAACAGCTCAACAAATTAACAGGTGTGCCGTGGGTGACCAATAGGGCAGAGAAAGCACTGTGCGGCAATGGCTCAACAAATTTCGTTCTGGAGATTTCAGCCTTGAAGATGAACCTCATAGCGGTCGACCTAAAGCAATATCTGACGAGGATTTTAGGGGGATTTTGGAGGCTGACCCATCCCAAACAGTTCGAGAGATAGCAGAAGAGCTAGGCCTTGGCAAATCCACTGTTGCAGATGGTCTGGAACGCATTGGGAAGGTGAAAAAACTCGACAATTGGGTGCCCCACAATCGTGACCGGCAGGAATCGGCACGTCTCGAGGTTCCTTCTGCATTGCTTTTGCGCAGCAGAAACGACCTGTTTTTGGGCCGAATTGTCACCTGTGATGAAAAATGGGTCATGTATGATAACAGGAGACGTTCCGGACAGTGGTTGGATTTCGACGAACCACCGAGGTAATTTTCAAAGCCGAACCTCCGAAAAAAAGATTCTGGTCACGGCTTGGTGGTCATCGGCTGGTGTGATCCACTATAACTTTGTAACACCAGGCCAAACCATCACAGCAGAACCCTCTTGAAGATATCGACGAATTGTACCGAAAATTTTGTCAGATGCAGCCAACACTTATCAAAAGAAAGGGTCCGATTCTTTGCATGACAACGCCCGCCCACACGTTTCACAAATCACTATCCATAAATTGAACGAATTGGGGGTTGAATCTACTACCTCATATTCTCCAGACCTTTCACCAACCGACTATCACCTTTTCAAACATTTTCAGAACTTCCTTGCTGAAAAATACTTCATCAATTAGGACCAGGCAAAAAAGACCCTCGTAGATTTCGTGGATTCTCGACCACCCAGTTTTTTCTTTGATGGGATTTCTCGACTGCTATCACATTGGCAAAAGTGTGCTGTGACGTATGAGTTGCCTATTTTCGATAAAATCCGATGAGGATTTAAAAAGCTCACGAGGGTCGATGTAAAGTCGAAACACCCAAAGCGCTGAGAAAAAAAAATCTTTCCGGAAAACCTGAATAGGAGGGACAGAGGCGCGGCAGGCGAGGAATCGTACTAACCCTCAAAAAAAAGGTGGTACGGACTCAATAAAATCCCCCGACCAAAGATGTGGCCCTGCTCCGCGGCCGCGTCTCAGGATGTCAACCGCGGGCCTCCATTCTCCTTCCTTTTTCTTCCTTCTCCCTTCTTTTCCTTCCTTCCGTCTCTGACACTGCTTCTTTGGTTGGGTCCTGGTACGAATGCTGCGTGCGTTACCCGCAGGCAATGCCTTTGCCATTTTGCATTTTGCCGCAACTGGAAGTACCGTATCGGATCACCAAATAGATTCTCGATATGCAATATACTGGAAGGATATAACAATTCATGACGAAGTCCGCGTCTCGTCCAAAGATTTCAAAGAGCTGCGCAACAACTACTGATGAGTAGCAGGTCTTACTGAGGACGCTGCCCGACCTTTTACAAAGCCATCATCAACGACTTCAAATGCGCCGTTACATCTGGATAATTAAAGGCAGTTGGCACTATAAATCCCCCAAGACGAGTACGATTAATACGCCTGGACGGAACTCCGTGACCCTTAGGGGCGCTGCATAATGCCTTTTCCACGTTAGGTGCCTTATAAGGACCTTATTGGAAGCATGCAAACATTACGAAGCCCAACGCCCGCCCGCCCCAAAATGGACGACTGTTCTAACAGCCTCCACTCGATCAATTTGCTAAGCAAATTATGAACGAAGGGATTGTACGTGCGTCCTGATGAAGCTGTTATAGATATATGATATTACACATATGCAAGCTGTACCTTTCGTAGCGATTATTGGCAAAATGCTTAGGTGAAACTCGTCCAAAACTATTGTTGGAATCATGAGACGGAGGCCTCTTTCTTCGAAAGGATTTGAGCCATTCACTCGCGTTCTTTCGCCTCCCCGTACTATTACAGCGGCCGCTACTAGGCAATTTAGAGCTAGGTCGGCAAATCGTCGTGCCAACTGTCTTTGAACGCGCCGTTATATCTGGGTGACTAAGTGCTGATAAGGTTCACCTGCTAGTTAACAATAAGTCAATACGAGCAGGATAGAAGAGCATTCATTTCAGATAACCGTGAAAAATGTTATCAGTATTGTCCTACCGAAGTTGGAGCGAAGATGACTATTGGAAGGGTCACCGTAACTGTGATGAAGAGGATCGTACATGACGAAGGCTACATTGAGTCGTCATGGCAAGTAGAAACTGAGTATGTTCCAAACCATTGCCAGATAGCACTCGTACACGACATTGGCAAATCCGTCGACCTTGAAACTAGTTCGCAAGCTTTCCAATAAAAAAGAAATTATGGAAAGCAGCAATCAATCAGTAATCAGTATGGAAACTATGTAGTCATTACGAAAGGGAAGCTCCACAGAAGGGTTGGAACTGAAGGATACGAGCCTGCCTTTTCAATGGTCTCTGTCAGAAGAGACTACGCCGTGATGAGACTCCCCACGTCACGTCTTGTTTTGTCGCGGCACGTCTTCTAAACCCTTGATCATACGTACATGAGGTATATACAGGGGGGGGGGCAAAAAAAGACATTCCGACCGGGTCACATATAGGTCTCATCTCAGCTGTTATGAAATTTCGAAGTTCGCAACAAATCCTTTAAAGAATGGGCGGAGTCAGCCATGTGTCATGTGTTGAAAATCTATGTCCGCGCTGACAAGTAGGCGTGGCCGTCGGGGCGGGCTCGCAGTGGTGTCTGGCGTGATCTGGTTGGTGAACTGAAAAGAGTGGTGAATTTGGTTTGAAAGCGGTGAATTTGAAGTAAAAGTGGTATATCTCGATCTCCTAGTCAATCAGAGGGCGACACTACGTGACATTGCTATACCTCGCGTGACCACCACCTCCCCGCCCTACTACTTCGTTCATAAAAAACCGAAATAGGGTAATTCTTAAAAAGTAAAGATGAATATTTCAGAGCGAAACGGTATGAAATAAGGCATCTGCAGCTTACGACGTGGCCTGATCACTCTGCTCCATACGACTCTGAACCAGTAATTATTGTCTATAAGGAACTTCTGAGAGAGCAACCAAAAACTCCGATTGTCATACACTGTTCAGCAGGAGTTGGGCGAACTTGCACATTTGTTGGTAAGATGCATACCGTTATTTAGCATTCTGAATAGGACACAGTATTGTTGTGAGAATTCCATCTGAGGGGTACTACTTGCTCTCTGTTGAGAAGGGTACTACCGGGGATTACATGACAATGAGAACTTTTGTGTGTGCGTGTGTGT